AGAGGAAGATAGGGATGCCGAACGGACTGGGATAGCTGAGGGGTAACAGCCCCATACCGGGATGCCTCTAAGAAACTGAGAGGGAGACAAAGGAAGACTGCAAGCCCTGGAGTTTAAGAGCTGACTGACTCATTTCAGGTTAAGTTGAGATGAACAGGGGGAGACCAGAATCATGTCCCCCAGATATGGACTGGCAACAGAGCTTGCTTATACACACCAGGTGTGATCATCATCAGATCCTTTTAACGCTCTGCCTGGTATGGCTCAGACTTGGTTAAATAGGTAGTTTATACACAGCGCTACCCAGGGGCTGAACAGTACAATGCAGTTTAGCATTCCATTACATCTCCCCTTTAAGTTCTACACGCCTACCATTTCCCATAGTGACATTATCTGCTACCTTTGTAGTTCAGTACAGATCAATCTGTTGCATGTTGCAGAATCATCCTGGTTTTCTAATTACATGACCCAAAAATGTAACAACTTGTTCATCTGGCTGTCCATTAGTTGCAATGACTGGTTGTGGTTGGTTTGGAATCCTGTATTCTTCTTCTTCTTCTCCATCTGTAGTGTTGCTCTGTGCTGTTCTTTCTGAGGAGCAAACTGGAGACATCAACCGTTTCTGTTGAACTCTTCACTGTCGGTCCTGATCACATATGATTGAGTTTTTCTTTGAGACAGCTGGCGTTGCCCATCCTTTTTCTACATCCAATTTGACATGAACATGGTCACCCGGTTCTAGAGGTGGCCATTCTCGGAGTGGTATCTGCTGTAGAAGTGTTCATAAGCTCTTTTAAATTTTTTACCTGATTTGGCTACTCTCTTCATGTCTGGCCACTTTGGAGACAGGGTTTTTTCCAAAGTTGGAAGAGAACTTTTGTGATGTCTTTCTTTGATTTGATTATGGAGATATCCTATCTCCTAGAACTGGAAGGGACCTTGAAAGGTCATCAAGTCCAGCCCTCTGCCTTCACTAGCAGGACCAAGTACTGATTTTGCCCTAGATGGCCCCCTCAAGGATTGAACTCTCAACCCTGGGTTTAGCAGGCCAATGCTCAAACCACTGACCTATCCCTCCCCCCTCCTTCTGTCAGGAGTTGTGCTGGACTACATCCAGTAGCCGCTACTGGTGTCGATCTGTAACTCAGAAGAGCAAGAATGGATCTTCCTGCAGTAGGATTTTCCTGGCTATCTGTACAGCTCTCTCACCTCTCCATTTGCTTGTGGGTAATGTGAGCTCCTAGTAATAGCGTCAAAATCACGTGTTATTTGGAATGACTTAAATTTTGCTGCAGTGAACTGTGGTCCATTGTCCGTCACTAGTTATTCTGGAATACTGAAGTGAACAAAAGTGGTACTTCAGTTTCTCAATAACACTGCAACCTGTTACGTCTTTCAAGTACGTTATTTCAGTATACCTGGAAACAGTCCACAAGCACCAGCTATTTATGTCCTCTGAATCTGCATAAATCTGCAGCTCATCTCTTCCTCGATCTCTCAGGAAGTGGTGTCTGTACACTGTATGGCTCAGCATTGTCTCTTATGTTGATTTGAACTGGATCTCCTTTCAAAAGTTCAGTATCAACAACTCCTCTCTAGAGTTCCGACTTCCACCTTTCTTACTAGGCCCATCATGGCCGCCACCTTTCGGCTGAGAAGGTTGTTGGTCTTTGATCACACACACTCTGAATGCAAAGCTTTTGTCTTTGTAAATTATTTCTGTGAGGAACTGGCCCATGCAGCTCAGAATCCCTGGAGGGCTACTCAGAGCTGAGTCAGGTGACTTCAGCTCTGGCCTGGGACAGGCTGAAGGTGATTGTAAATCCTTTCTGAGATGACTGTGACATCAGCTCCTGAGTCAATTTTAAAGTCAATAGTTCTATCGTGAATATTCAATTTCAATTTCCGGGCAGGCTCCGTGTCCTCACAAGTGATAGATCCCAGAAACAATGCCTCTTGATTGTCTGTAATTTGAGTCAACTCCCTGACTGCTTCAGTGCAGCAAACAGCCACAAAATGTCCATATTTCGTGCATGTATTACACCGTGCGTCTCCGGCTGGCCATGCATCATCTCCTGGGATATCACTTTTCCCACACCTTGTGCATGTAGGCTGGAATTTGTCCCTCTTAGCCTGGGAGTTCTCTCACCTTCCTTCAGGAGTTGTATGATAATGACTTTTAACTCTCAAGTGTCTGTTCATAGCTTCTAAGCTAGTTTCAGGGTTTTCGGGCTGCTCCTGCCTTTTGTTCTGTTGTTTCACTAATACTGACTGCTTTACTATCTGAACAGCTGTAACCAAGTTTCAATCTCTCTTCAACTGTAGCTGCTGTGAAAGGTTTTTATCTGTTAACTTAATAACCAGTCTCTCTTTGATATTCTCAAGTTTTGCATGCTCAAAAATCACAGTTTTCAGCCAATGTATGCAGAGCTCTTATAAAAATTCAACATTTCCCATTGGTTCTTGAATTTTCTGGTGAACACATGTCAATGAGGTACAAAGTCTGCATCAAATATAGGCAGAACCCTTTCACAGACATCTTTGTGACGGTCTTCAGTAAAGTCAAAGGGTTTAAAAATATGCTCTGTCTGCTTCCCCATAGCATAAATTAAAGAAGATACCTGTGTAACTCCAGTTTCTTTGCGGAGTTTGTTTGCAGTTCGAAATCTTGCAAAACGCTGCTTCCAGTCTGTCCGCTGGGAAGGCTTATCAAGGCTGAAGTTCTCTGGGAGGCACTGAAGAGTGGCATGTTGATGAGATCTTGCAACCTTTGTTGCTTTGTTCCTTCTGTCTCTGATCTTAGTTTACTCCTGATACCATGTCATGTCCCTGTACCAGATACGGACTGGCTACAGAGTTTGCTTATGATGATCACACCTTTAATGCTCTGACAGGTAGAGCTGAGGTTCATTTAAAGAAGGTATTTTACACACAATGCCACCTAGTGGGTGAACGGTATAATAGCGTTTAGCAGGCCATTAGAGGAAAGCTGGGACCACTAGACAGATGGTCCCAAGAGTGGCTGACAGTGATCCTTCCTTCCCCCTAACAACTCATCTCCCCTAAGAGAAACTCAGCGAAGGAATGAAACATAAACGTCAACGTCAGGCTTCCAAACCGACTGTGTGCGCGTAAGCTCTGTAACTGGTATCTCTGCCACCTGCACAAACACAGGCAGCTACTGTCTGCATGCCAAGTCTCTGACGTGTGTTTATTTAAATGTGTGATATGAGATTTTAAAAAACCCCACAGGAGACCAGATTCTGATCGCAGACGGATGTAAATCTGGAGGTCTCTCCGTTGACTCAGATAGGGTGACTCTGCTTTTACACCGGGGAAGTATGGTCAGCATGTGGCCCACTGAGCTTGTTTATTTGAATGTCTCCGCATTGTGATGAGCTGAGAGAGCCACTTATTTGCATGTGCAATCAGTGAAAAGCACTGCAGCTGTGTTTATTCTGCACCTCCTGCATGCCTCTCGCTGTCAAGACTGCCAGCGAAAGCAAGTGCCGCCCGAGGAAGAACTCCGAAACGCAGGCTCCAGATAGAAAATGGTCGGTATGTTCATTCAGTCCGTAGTGGAAGAACTGTGCACAAAGCGCAGCCGATAGTCCAGACGCTGGTCCCACTGAAGTCAGTGGGAGTTTGGCTAGGGACTTCATGCATGAGGGGCAAGATTTGTGTCTATGTCATTTTCCATTGCGTATAGTGTCATTACTTGAAACCACAGGGCAGATTCGAGGCTGCCTTGGGGAAGTTTTGTGATGCTTTCCCTGCACTGGCCACTGGGCTCTCCTATGCAGCAGCATCACTGGGAGCTGTGTAGTGGTCCCTATCCCTCCCTGTGGGTGGTGCAGGGGAAAATGCCAAGAGAAAGGGGTTGTGGCAAGGACACCTCACCCCACTGTTGAATGGCCTGCTGCTAAAATGGCCCCTTAGGGCCACGTGCAGCTGGGGTAACTCAGAGCAGCCTACTGGCTGCTCTAAATTGTCGTGGGGAACTGGAACAATGGAGACCAGCCCAGGATCATGAGGGTGAAACAGCGGCATAATCTTCTCGGCCACCCTCTCCTGAGCTCTGCCAAGCACTCCTCAGCCTTGGCTTGAGATCTGGGCCTCAATGTCACTAAGACCCCGAAGTCCACATTGAGAATGAGTCTATCGTGAATGGGAAGGTTCAAAAATAAGCTATTTCTGAGTGCTCCAAGCACCGAGACGAGTGTCGAAACATTTTCTTAACCTCTAGTCATTCCTCACTCAGGCAAAATGACTTTGGTCTCTCATTATCCGAGCTCCATTAACCAAAGTGTTGCTTTGTTTTTCCTCCCTCACTCTTGGGAGGTTACCACCAAGTGACCCAGTTCTCAGCAGGCCGGGGAATTCTCACGCCTCACCTGAGGATAAATGTGCCACGGCCTCCCTTTTCACACCAGCTCCTGGAGGCTTCTTTTTCAGCTCATCCGTGCTGCTGGTCCCCTCCAGTTTCTTGGCTCGATGGGCCTTTGCCTTGTCCTCTGCTTTTGCCAGGCCTGTAGAAGGAGAGCAACCTTTATTAAAGACATACACCGTGAAACCGGGGCCTGGAGACAAAGAGATTTGATTGATGCTCTTCTGGTGAATGTTATCTAACTGATTCATTAGGCAAAAATCCTGCAGTCCTTTAGGCACAATGCCTACTGAAGTCCATGGGCGTTTTGCCTAAGCAGCAATGGCAGGATTTGACCCATGACTATGATATGCTGAGTCACGCATGCACCTGGAATTTTGCAAACAGAAAGCAAGACACTTTTCCTGTTCCCAAAGAGTTTACAGCTTGGGAAATTCCAAGCCAAGACAGAGCACGGGACATTCAGATAAGGGATGGAGGGTGAGGGGAGCACGCTGGGAGGGATTTCTACCTGACGCCTGATGGAGGAATTTGAAAGAGGATAATTATAATAATAATATAACATGGAGATATACCCATCTCCTAGAAGTGGAAGGGACCCTGAAAGGTCATCAAGTCCAGCCCCCGGCCTTCACTAGCAGGACCAAGTAGTGATTTTTGCCCCAGATCCTTAAGTAGTCCCCTCAAGGATTGAACTCATAACGCTGGGTTTAGCAGGCCAATGCGCAAACCACTGAGCTATCCCTCCCCCCGCTTTTGAGACACTGGAATATTAAAGGGCTTTTTCTGCTGAGAGACGCATGCAGGGTACAGCGTTGGGGATCTGCTCGCTAAAGGAATCCAGAGTCCCTACTATTAAATAACACGGTTCTGGGATCACAAATGGGATCTTTACTCCCCATAGCCTTAAAAATTTGCCATCATGAATCCTGGGACTTCATTAAACAGGCCGTGTTGTCAGACTGTGAAACTGCCTGGGAATAGGAGAGCAGAGAGCAGGGCTAGCGTAAGAGTGAGTGCCAGGCACACGTGGGAACCGAAATCCCTCGGGAGACCAGGCTGTTGCCACCTGCGCTGCTGAGTGAGCTGCCGTGTTGCCAAGTCTGACTGCAAAGGCAAACAAATTTGCTCCTGGTGGAAAAGGGATTAGCAGGCAGAGTTATATATACACACAGAGCCAACGGCACTCGGTCCAGCTTCCCTGCTTAATCATGCCTTTGTGTCCTTTCTCCCACCTCATCTGTGCATCTTGTTCCATGCTCGGAACAAGCGATTCCTCGCTTTTCATTCTGGTCCCTCCAGACACACTTCTTATGTGATTCTTTTTGGCCATAATCCAGCGAGGAAAGGGGCCAGGATCGTGTCTTCCCCTATGTACTGTATAGTCCCAGACAAGCAGCTGATGGACCAACAAATAAATAGCAATAATAACAGCTCCATCTGATGCCCCTCTGCTCTGCACAGGCAAAACCTCACACTGTCTGGGCAGTTAACAGGCAGGTTACCCACCTGGGTGTGTGCAAGAAATGGAAGATGCAGTTTTAAAGGCCACTTTTGAAAATCTGGCCAATAGGGGCAGATATGGCTTGCAGCAAGACCTGTTTGCCCAGAATCACGTTTTGGTCCAACACCCGCAGACTGGAATTTTAGAACGCGAGTCCCGAGAGCCATGTGCATTTTTAGGCATCTGTTTCATGCTCTTTCTGCACATGCCCGCACGGGAGGAGTTACATGTGAAAACGGAGCATTTACAAGTGCAAATGCACATTTGTGAGCACAGACGTCTGATTTGCTCAGGCAACGGCAGGAACCTCGTGTGCAAAAATGATGCAAAAATGTCCCACGAACTCCAGGCCCCAACTGGCTGTTAAGGGCAGTAGGGATCCTGTGCCCAGTTGCTGACATCTGAGATGGGGCAGGAGATGAGGATGCTGGAGCATACTCGGGGTAGAATATTAAATCAAAGGCAGTATGATGCAGCCATACTTCTGGTGCTGCCCCAGCCCTCCTTTTTTGGGGGCAGGTCAGAGGAGATCATCTCAGTCATCAGCCATTCATAGGTGAAGTTTTAGGTCCCATCTTGGATACAGAGTCTAACCAATGCTTCTGTTGGAGGCTCTGCTCGGGGTGCCCTGGGTAATGAAGAGATCTCAGATACCTGCCTTCACAGGAGCAGGGAGGAGGGGCAGTATTCTGGAAACACACAGGGGGAAGCTATAGACTCTGGAATTGAAACAGGGCTGCCCCGTATGTTACCTTTCAATCCAAACGTCCCCGAGATGGACGGTTGCTCCCCGGTAAATTTCTTAGGAGTTTTCTGTTTCCTTCCTGACTCGAGAGAGAGAAAACAGAGATAAAAATTTGGTCAAATAACTGCACTGCAAGCGTGGATTTAAATACACACGGGCAAAGGCACCTGGATGAACTCTGGATCAGGAGGTGAGCAGTAAGGGATCCAACCTTACTTTACCTTCCGCCCCGCAAGGGGCTTTACTGCCCTGAAATGAAGCAGCTATGGGTGGGACCCTCAGTCTGACACCCTCGTCGAGCACTAGAGGTGCTGTCCTTCTCTCCAGATCCCATGGCAGCTGAAAGGTCTGCTCCCGAACCCTCGGATCCCTATCATCATAAGGCAGCTCTGACTGCTGAAGGCTGTAGACCAACCTGGCGTCGAGTGACTAATGGCCCCCCTAGCCCCCTACGCGGTTTCTGCACCTACAGTCTCCTTAGTGCTTTGGGAGCGGAACTCCACAGCCCCACTTTCCAGGCCCAATACAGTCCCGACCTATGTCAGTCTCAGGCACGCTCCCCTCCGACTGACTGCTCCGTGTACGTGGCTTTGATTTCTGACTGTGGTTGTGCTGCACAGCTTCACTGTGTCCTGCTCCCCGGGGGCCAGATGCACGAGTGTAAACGGAGAGCGAGGCCATGGCTTTCAACGGAGTCACGCTCCATCACACTGCTGTCCCGGAGACCGGGAGTGACTCTACCCTTCGCCCTGGGACACCACCCACTCCAGCCTCCTGAACCAACGGAGCCCCGGGCTCTAATCTTACTGTGCTTCATCCTCTCTGGGTCCTCCTCCTGGAGGGAAGCCTGCGTGCCCCCTTGCTGTTTGGGATCCTTGCAGCTCGAAGACTTGGCCGTCGGGGTGGCTGCTGCTACGGCCTCCGCTGCCGTGATCTGAAATACTTTGTTCTTCCTGCTCTCCACCAGGCACTCTCCATTCTCGGGGACCACAGTCTTCTCCACCTTGGCCTGTTTGGGATGGATGGTGGGGGAATCTGAACTCTCAGCAGCTCTAGGGCAAAGCATAGAGGGCTTATGTAAAGCGGAGTCAAGAAACCAACGCTGTTGACACCTCTTCCAACCCAACGGCCAATCGGGATTGCACCCCAGTGGCCAGTGGGAAGGGAATTGGGAGTTTTCCCCTTCTCTCTTTCCAGCCTTCCCCAAAACACTGGCAAGCAGCGAAGCCACGCGCCGGTACCTTTTCTTGCCACTGGCCTTGCCAACGGCTTTCTGCACTTTGTTTTCTGCTTTGCTAGCTGGTACCGGCCTATCCAAGTGATTCCAGAGCCTGTGCTTTTCCAGCTGGGTTTTGGATGTGAAGGCAGCTTCGCAGTAAGAGCAAGGGTAAGTCAGCTTCTCCGAGATCGCCCCCTGCAAGAGAGCAGAGAGGTGGGAGAGGGAAAGGACCAGCCCTTTCCCTGCAAGTGCAAGAACCTTTCTGCAAACTCACACTGCCAAGACTGGGAGGTAGAAGAATCCCTTTCCACACACGCCACAGCAGGTGAGCTTTTCAAAAGCACAAGGGCCGTAGGTACCTGATCCCCATCGACTTTCAATGGGAATTAGAGGGTTATTTCTCTTTGGCTCCATTGGAAATTCCAGCCAGCATTTTAAACTGGAGCCAGGGAGTGCTTTAGTGAGCTACGCACACCTCAGTGCATCAAAAGGGGAATCTGGTCCTTCGTGGGGATGAAAACAGAATACCTTTTTTTAAAATAAAAGCATAACAGAGATCCTAATACAGTTAGCCGCCTAAACTGCAAGCGCAAATCCTGCATGTGCACATGCAAACAGGCCCAGAGACGTGCAATTGCAAGCTTGCTAGAAAGTTGGAGTTTTGTGCACAATTCAGATGGCTGCTTTTTAAGAACAGGGGGCCAGTTTATCTCAAGTTGCAGCTTTGAACTGGAGGGTGAATCCTGCAATGGGATTTCCTTTCCCATTCTCTTTGCACTCCCTCATTCCACGCAACCTGGGCTCCCCGTTAATTTAATTCTTAGGCAAAGCCCTGCCAAGGGGCCTTCGCTCTCAACTTGCTTTAGAATTCTGACGGGGACCAGGCCATGTGGGGCTTGGATCATTTTGCTAGGGAAAAACCTGAGGTTCTCAATTCGTCTTTCCCCAGGCAATGGGAATCCAGGGGGATGGGGCAGGGGTGGGGTTGCCTACGGAAGGACTCTGTTAGGTTAAAGGAAAGCGCTGCCCCTTGGCACTGAGGGACGTGTGCAGGCAAGGCACGTGTCAGGGGAGGCAGCATTCCTCTGGCCCGGCTGGATAGAAGGAGTTGGAGTTTAATGGATGCAAGCAACAACTGAGCTTTAGAACGCTCCGTCTCCATTAAAG